AACGGTCTTGATGTTAATGCTTCGCTAGAGGGAAAACAACCTTAGCTTGACACTATCCCGGACTCCAGGATCATGGGGGTCTTCTTTAGCATATGAAAGTCGCTTTGGACACTTCCCCTTGCCTTTACCTCCCCCAACTCCCAAGTATATAATCAGTCACTCCTCATAGTCCCGGGACAGCTCTTTCTGCCCTTTGCGGCCTGTTCCTGTGCTTTAATAAAACCATCTTTTTGCACCAAAGACGTCTCAAGAGTTCTTTCTTGGCTGTCAGTTCCAAAACCAAACACCCCAACATTTTCCACATTACTGATAACTCTAAAGTCATGTCTATTTTAATTAAACCAACAAACTTAAATTAGTTTAAATACTGAATTTTGTTCCACCTGCGTCCACTTAAAAGTCAATTTGTTTCCCATTGCTAATTTTTACCTGGGACATCGGTGGGGAAATCTGAAGTGGGAAGTGTAAATCCAAGGGGGTGCTCTTTGTTCCTTGACAGCGAAGGGAGAGGAAGAAGCCAATGATGCCTGAGGCATGCAGGATGGTATAGGAGCCAGTTGTGCACGCCACACCCAAGTGATGAGGAAACGGGAAGGTGGGGAGGCAGAAGAGGTGAGGTGCCACCAACAAGGCTGGAGCCAGATAAAACCCCAGAGGGCAGAGAAGGAGGACTCCTGGTCCTAAAGCTCATCAGCTTGGAGAAATGAAAAGACAGGTTTTCTTTCCACCAACAAGTGGAATTTAGCAGTCCATGTCAGGCCAGAGAAGACCAGGAACTTCTCTGAAACAAAAGGAGGTTCAGCAGCTGCTTGGGAATATTCCTTAAAGTCTTTGTCCTGAGGTAGACTAACCAGAGACAGTTGTCCCCAATTACCATAGCCATTAAGTTGGGAAATGAATGAGGGAGAAGCCCCCACATACAAGAGTTTCCTGGGTCTAATAAGAAGGAGGAACAGTAAGAGAGAGTCAGTGTCCCCTTCATTGGGGATGGCCTGTGTTTCCTCCAGCAACTTGGGTTTATTTGGAAGAGGCCAGTTTAGACAGTTACCATCCAATATATCAGGAGAGAGCTTTCTAGCCTGGTTAGTAGCCAAACACATTCTGCAAGAGGCCTTTAGGTCAGGGTCCTCATCTAAACCTATGAAGGCCTGGACCAAGGGTACCTCTGTCCATTTGCCCTGTTTCCTGCAGAAGAGATCTAACTGATCGATCATACTGAAGCTGAATGTCCCATTAATGGGCCATTTCCCTTCATCTCCTAAGGAATACTGAAGCCATGCATTCTGATTACAGAAAAATTAAGTTTTTTCCCTTAAATCTTGCAATCCAAATTGTTTCCAGGGGGTAAAAGGCATCCCAAGGGAGAGTCCTTGGGGCCTGAAGCAGAAGATCCTATGCTCCTAGAAAAATACAGACCAGGTGGTGTCCCATGAAGGATAGGTCAGAGGTTCCTGGTGTCAAAGCAAACCAGGGGTCTTATGACCAAAATCGCTATGATCACCACCCTGCCCCAGAGGAGGGATGCTGGCATCCCCCCACTTCCCCGTTGCATCCTAGGCTACAAATGGCCGCTGGTGTATGGACGAGATACAGTGCCTTGAAGAACCTGCTGTTTTCAACCCATGGAAAACACTAGAAAAGTTTTACAAGGAGACATTACCCAATTCTGTAATTAGTAGGGAACAATGACAGAAAACAGTAAAGATAGAAATCCATCATGGTCTAAGTGACAATCTAACACATGGAGTCTTTAGAGCCAACTTCCTACGAAATGGTCCCCAGTTGGGTTTTAATTCAATCTGGCACTGGTTTCGGCCAGCTCCCAGTGGAGGTCTCCAAGCCAGAAGAGACTGGACCACAGAAGTGGAGTGGATCACATTTGACCAACGAGGAGGAAACCTCACACGAGGGTCTTGAGATTGGCAGCCGTCCTGGTGACTTAGGTGGCTGTCCAGTGCCCAAGACAGCTTTGTATAAGGACAGGAATAAAGAGAGGGCATCAAGTTTCTGGGTCTTATTACCATTCCAGCCATGGTACTAGCTTCCAGGCAAAAGCATGCTTTCTCCTGCCCGTAGAGTAGTCACGGACTAGAGGATTACAACCTGAGCAATAGACATTAAAGTGTTCCAATGAGACCATACTTCTGGAAAAGCCCCTGAAATGAAAGTAAACAGAGAAGAGAGGAAGTACTCACCAAGTTTGCACTGAGGCTTGGAGTCCAGATGAGAAGACTCAGGCCCCACGTTGAGCGCCAAATGATATGGTTTATGTTTGAACCCGTGGGCGAAAGGCCAAGAAAGAATTCTTGAGACGTTTTGAACATGAAAGGTGGTTTTATTATAGCACAGGGACAGAAAGAGCTGCCGTGGGCAGAAAGAGCTGCAGAGATGGTGAGGAGTGACTGGTTATATACACTGTTAAGGGGGGGGGGGGGCAGGTAGAGACAAAGGAAGTTTCCAAGAGGATTTTCTTATGTTGAGGAAAACTCACAGGATCCTGGAGGCCTGGCTATTGTCAAGCTAAGGTTGCTTCTCTCTCTAGTAAGGCGTTAACATTAAGACAGTAGGGGGTCCCTAGAGGAATGTCCTTATCTTCCGGTCTCAAGTGTTTGTCACTGGGCTGCAGGCTATAAGGAAGTTTAATTTTATCCATGTTTCTTTTGCCTTTTTGAGGCACAGACCTTACATGTGAACCACCCAAACGGACCAGGGCAGCATCTCTGCCTCTTTGTCTTTGCCACAGACTGGCTGAGGCTCCCTGCGCCTCCCTCTCCTGGCCTCTGCCTCCACCCCTGGAAATGCCGGGCAGCTCTCTCAGGAAGGGTAGGCTGTGGCCAGGCTCTCCGTGACCTTGAAGGCTGACTCCTGCATTGTTTCTGCATTGGCATTCCCTTTCTGGCGGAGATTTTATCTCCTCGCTAGGAAGCCTCCTCCCCCTTCAGGGAAAGGTCGGGGAGGTGGGGGAGGCCAGGAGCCCGGATCCTCTGGCTCTGGGTGGGCTGGGGGCGGCCCCTCGCCACACTGGGTGCCCAGCCTCTTGGCCTGCTGCCTTCCGGGCTAAAGGATCCCAGATGTCTTGGGGCTCCTCACCATCCCTCTGCTGCTCAGGCTGGGCCAGGCCCTAGAGGGTGGGAGTATAGTTCTGAGGAAGAGGGTACCGGAGGGAGGCCGTGGCCTTGTTCTCGCCCAAGGCCCACCCAAGAGTTCCACTGGTGTAACATGCCCTCCCCAAACACGCACGTAGCACGCATAACACGCACGTAACACCCACCCACACGACACACGACACACACAACACACAGGCATACAATACGCACGCACACCAGAACCATACACCACTCATGTGCAGCATCGCACCCATGCACGCACCACACATACACGTGCACGCTGCCCCCCGACACCTGGCAGGCCAGGAGGCCTTCCTGCCAAGTGTGACTGGCAGCTGGGCCGTGGAGGCAAGCGAGGCCATTCACCCATTGCACGGAAAGGAGAGCGGGGTGCGGGACAGGGGACACTTGGTCCTAACTGTGCGGAGGGTCCAGGCGGGATAGAACTGAATCCGGGACAGATGGAAAGAGCCACTCTGACTCAAGTTGGTCAGCTTACCCCAGGCCACTGCTATTCAAGCCCGTGCCCAGCGGCCTCTCTCAGATAGGAACACGTTCAGGGTGGGCTGGGGGCGATGGGGTCGGACCTGGGACCTCGCCCCTTGTGGTGCCTGGAGACCCTGGGTGAGGAGGCTGGGGACCGGGCTGGGAGTGTAGGCCTGTTCCAGGACTGGGATCTGGCCCCCAGGAACGTCTGGTGTGCAGCGGGGACCTTGGAACAGGGTCTGCGTGCAGCTCTGTGAGAGTCAGTGCTGATTTCCTGTTTTTGACCCCGGTTATGTAAGAAGTTAGTGTGCGGGGAAGCTGAGTGAAGGGAAGATAGGAACTGTGTACTATTTTTGAAACTTCTTTGTGTGAACTGATTTCAGAATGAAAAGCTGAAACGTTTTAAAAGCAGACTGAGCCCTGCCCAGCCCTGGTCCAGATGGGACCCGGGTTTTCCTGGAGAAAACACTTCAGATGGATGAAAACTCAGATTGCAAATGGAGAACTTAACAATTTTAAGAAAAACCATAGGAAAATCTCTTCATATAGTAACAGAAAATATTTTGAAGTAACCCACTAATACATTTAAGAATATTAATGGTGAAAAAGTTTGCCTGTAATCATGATACAGCAGTAAAAAAAGACACTTACTAAAATACTTTCAATAATCAGTACTAGTTATCAAGATGGACTGATTAAAAAGCCCGAGGAAATTAACTGGCCGGGAGGCACGGACTAGCGGCTCTGGCTGTGGCTGCTGCAGGGGGATGGGACCCAGTGCGCCCCGGGGGGGGGGGGGGGGGGGGGGGGGGGGGGGGCCGGTCGCCAGAGAGAAGTCACAGGGGCAGGCCAGAGATGTGGGCCCAAGGTCACCCAGGGGACAGCGTGGCAAGGTCAGCAGTCTGGAGACTGGCCCACCAGCCGTGGTTCTCCTAACTCCTCTGCCCACAAGCACCCCTGTGCCCCACGTAGGCGCCCTGGCTCCGGAGCCCTCCCCCATCTCACTGTGGGTGGGGCGTGTAGGGTCAGGGTGTGTGGGTTGAGAAGGTGTGAAGGAGGGAAGGAACCAGCCCAGGCCCCCTCTTCCACCACCACCCCCTGCCTCTGCTGAGGATTCCCCCGGCACAGCGGCCACCAGAGGCCCTGGGAAGATGCCTCCCTGGGAAGTCCCGGGTAGGCCCCCGGCGGGGCTGGGGGGGGTGGGGTCAGGGAGGATGCACTGGACGCTTCATGGGGAGGAGAGGAAGCCACCACCCAGCGGTGCAGGGCTGACCCCAGGTCATAGCCCCTGGGCCACAGGCGCTTGCCTGGCTGAGGCAAAACCAAGCGGAAGCCGAGTGTCCCTCCCAGGCAGGCCACAGGAGCCACCCACCCTGCCCCGGCGGGGCGAAGCAAGCAAAGAACGCTGGGGTGTTGAAAGCGTTTATTCTCTTTCGGTCTTGGCTGGCACACCATTAGCGGGCCCCGGGCTGCGCTGTGGGCTCTGCTTTCCTGGGGGCCCCCGTCCAGCCGGGGCTTAGCGGCCTCTGCATCTTGGGTCGGTGGTCAATCGATGGTGTTTGCAAAACGGGACAGACTTGTTGGTGCGGCAGGGCCCTGGGCGCCTGACGCCGGGGCTGGCCAGGTGGGCAGGCAGGAAAGCCTGTGTGTGGGCGAGCGTGCAGGGTGCAAATATGTGTGTGTGGGTGCATATGAACGCGTGCGTGTGCGAGGCCGCGAGCTTGCTTAACGCGCAGGCTGCAGGAAGCTTCGGCACGCTGGCCGGCCTGCGGGGTGCTCACGGCAGGGCCCGGAGGAAGGCGGGTCCTAGGCTGAGCAGGAGCCCTCCCGCCAGGGCCCAGGAGCTGCGCGCCATCCGGGCCACCCCGTTACAGAGGTCCTTTTCACAGCACGTCACCTCCTGCACTTCGAACTTAGTCAGGACCCCCTGGCTCAGGCTCTCAGGGTTGGTCATCTGTGAGAGCTGCGTCATAATCTTCGTGGCCACCTCGCAGGAGGGGGCGCAGCCCTTGTGCTGGGACTTTACCTTCTTTCCTGGGGGCAAGGAGGCAGGAGCGTGGCAGGCGAGCCCCCTCAGGTGGCCCGGGTCACTCATCCCCTGGGGGCACGAGGCCCTCCTCTGCCGCTGGAGCCCCATCCGGTCCCACCAGGCCCCCACACGCTCCCCCGGAAAGCCTGGGGGAGGCCACCCCTCA